AGCGATGACCCAAAGTTAATAATTATTTTTCCAACATTCACACAAACTCCAATAATAAAACAATTTCAGATATATTTGACCTTTTTCTTACTCTCAGCAATAGTTGCTTCAAATGTCATTTCATTAATATCAATTGGAGGCATGATAATTTGTTTGTTACTTAGTCGATGGCGTGTACGACGTGTTTATTTGATTTTTGTTTGCTACCATTTGCTTGTACTTATTTATTCTTTCATTGCATACATCGGCCCTCTTCCAGGAAAGTGCTATGATAGTAAGTATTTGATTGAATTTTCTAGCTTACAACAGAATTTAAAATATAATACATCAAGCATTCTAGTTTAGTCATGTTTATTGCATTGCATTCGAGGAATCAATCATAACTTTGTCAAAATCCTCTCTACGCAAACTTTCTAAAATAGTAATATTGTTCGAAAGTTTTGCTAATCTCTCAAATATTTGCGTGCTATCTTCAGGGAGCTCACTACTTCCTGACCATGCTCTTTACTTCGCTCTTATAAATAATGGACAGTACACAATTAGTCTACAAGAAAAATCATCAGATGCAATTTATTGTTACTTCCTCAACGTTATTTTTGCTATCATACAATATCAAAACTTTAAAACTGAAGTACGAATTTAACCCTATTTACTCTTATAAAAATATATTCATACTACAAAGGTCATAAAGATTAACTTTTCTCACCGTCCAACTTTTATAAATCCAATTTTTAATTAAAATATTATTTGATTTACTGATTGAAAAAAGGCTTGATCAACAGAATATAAAAAAAGCTTAAAGTAATGCCAATTTCAATACAGCTTTCCATTAAGGCAAACTTTGCATAGAAAAATAAGAACAGAAATATTTAAATTAATTAGAAGATTTACTTTGTTCTTTTTTCTTAGTATATTTTATTTAATTTTACTTTTTGAATTTTAGCAAGTAATTTCAGAATGCGGTAAGAGATAATGCTCAAGGAGGATCAAATGACGGCATTCTGCTTGCACTTCATCGTCAGGAATCTTTAGACCAGAATCCTGTGCCTGACTTTTTCTCAGCTAATGTCAAGTAATGATAATACTGCTTAGCAAATAAAGTATTTCTTTGATTACATATCTAACTAAGTAATTATCAAAGATGGGTTAAAAAATTTTGTTTAGAGTGTTGGATGAACTTAAGCAAGTAGTGTGCTCTTATTTCCATTGGATTGTATTATTAATTATATTATTGAATGGAATACGCCTTTCATCGTCTATTTTTTTATCAGTGATTCTTATCATTCTCGCTTTTATCAATCTTTGGAGTGGTGCTGATCTTTATCTTTCCCATCCAACAATTTTTATCCAAAAATGGCGGTTAATAACTATTTATCTCCTTTCTTCAATTTTTTTGCGCATAGTTGCATTGGTATGTCAGTCTTATTCTTGTAGTTTAATTATTATCACTTGAGAGTGTCATTTCACTTTGCAAATATTTTAGCATTTATTATTAAAAAGTAATTGTCATTAATTTATACTTTCTTAAGCAATACTACTAATTATAAATAAGCAAAAAATAAAGTAAATATGTAATTCAATTTTTACTTCGATCTTTTATTCACTTCAATACAGTACTTACTTCCTGCAACAGTTCAAAACAATGATTATACTATAACATATGATTTTTATCATTGCATATATATTTTTTTAAGATTAGTGACGTAGTATTGGGTTATATTTTGATAAGAAAAAACAAAGAGCATTATTATATGTCTGTTCACGTTTTGCTCACTTATTTTGCAAATTTCGAAGGAAATGATACAAGTAAAGCATAGATTTCATTGATAATTAAAACAATACAAAAGTTTTTTGTATTATTATTTTGAATGTTTGATAAAAGATTATTAACATTTGCAGAATCGTATGGTGCATTGAAAACAGATAACTTTCTGTTCGATCTACTAACTTTTACTGTTCTCTTACTTCATCTTCGTCTTATCAGTAGCTGGTAAATTCATTTAATAATTTGTTGTATATTTGCATAAACTGTAGAAAAGTTTTAACTTAGCCAAAAACTTTTGTGCTAATTGTAGGCATTTTCAACGTACTGTTATTGACATACGAGCTGATCGAATCGTATGCTATAGGTTTGTAGAATTTTCACTATTTGCTTAAAATTAATTATGCATGACTCGTCTTTTTCTTCATTAAAAGTAATTCTCTTCCGAAACATCGAACACAATCCAGTACTGTTTTTGCATTACAAAAATATTTCAGAGGCGTAATATTACAAACTCAACTAATTTACAAGGCAATGACGTATAATCAACAACAAGAACGTCGTCGACTAACAAAAATTAAGCATATTAAGGAAAAAATAGAAAAGCTTAGCTTACCACTCGGAAAATGGTTTATTGAGTGTATTTTTTTGTGTCATTCAAATTACTAATTTCATTAAACAGTCTAACAGCGACAGAAAGCTTTATTGTTTGAACTGAAAATTGAACGCTATAAGAATCACTTACGCTATTCAAAATCTCACTTACGCTATTCCAAATCTTGCGCATTTGGTATTATTGTTACGTGATGAGACAAAAAGTTGAGTACAAATGAGAGACTATTTCATATATGACAGTAATTGTAGTGCAAAGATTGAGAGTAAAAGACACATTGGACTCATATATTAAAGAGATTATTAATGATTAAAAATGATTCGAGCTAAAACGTACTTTTGCGACGAATTTTGTAGCAATATCAAATTTTTGCAATTGTTAAAATAATAGGACTAGAGAGTTGAAATCCCCGAGATTCATCGTTGAAACTATTCGATATATATGTCGAATAGTTATTAAAAAAACTGTTTCTTTTTTTAGCATTTTAAGAGTATTATGACAAATTAGAATCTGATCATAACCAAATTTAAGATTCAAAGTAGTGCTTAGTAGAATGAAACTGAGTTGAGGGCATGTTAGATCAAGTAATAAAAATCTTTAGAAATTACAAAGGGCTGCAAAAAGTTACTGGAATTTCGATTCTTACTTCTATTTTGCATCACATAGTGATAAGAATTGATATTAGCATTATCTAATCTCAAATGGGACAATTTTTGAAGTCAAGAAGAACAGAATACTTTTAGAGCATTTCTTGGTATTTCAGCGATTCGTGGCTGGAACGAAAATTTGCTACAAGCGGCTGACATAATGTCAGTAGACAGTGAAAAAACTTTTCGAGCAAATCTTATGTAAATCTTTTAATTGTATTCAACAATTTTAATTCAGAAAAAACACAAACAAATGAACTACAAAATACTGTTAAGAAGGAGTTGCTTGACAGAAGATTCCTCAAGACTAATTGTACAATAATTAATTAGTCTTGAGGGATTTTCAAGATTAATTAATTCTTAAGTAATTAATTATTTAAATAATAATTTTGGCGGTTAATTTTTGTTTGTATGTTATTGATTTTGTTGCTGGATCATATTGTGGCACTCTGAGTGCACTATTCCCACGCTGTTTTGTTATGCTCATTTCCGTTGTTTCTTTTCGTGGAATCTACGAATGAAATATTTTCAAGTGTTTTTTTGAGTACTACCGATTGGATATATGCCTCAATGTGATCGAATACACTGATTTCCTTCACGTAACGTTTATAGAAGTTTGTCACTATTCCATCCCAAGCCATCACATACGGAATTATTTTCGTCCTGCATTTTATCGCTGCCCTGAATTTATTAGCAAGTAAATCATACTTACGCTTTTTCTCGATCTCGACTGCTGTCAACCTGTATCAGAATTATTTATCGTGGATCATGATATCTAGTCGATTCGCATTCATCTGTTCTAACGTGTATATCGACTAGTAACAGAAATACCTTGTTTCTCCGTAACATTATAAAGTCCACGTCCTAGCTGGTCTCTTGGAAGGTAAACACTCTCCGAACATGCAGGTTGATATTGTATTCCGTATTTATTTAGTAACTTCCTGTCAATGGCTGTTCCCCGTCGACGTTCTTCCAAAATGGTCCAAGACCTTTTTTAGTACCTCTCTTGGCCACGTCTCTGTGCAATCTCAATTCTACAGACAAGTGCGTCGAATGTAGTAATTCTGTTCCGCAGAGTGCTCTTTCATACCCTTACGGAGCTTTTTCAAACTCATAAGTCATCTCAGTGTTTCATTTGTGATTCCAGATGGTGTTGTTTCCTCTTACACAGCTCAACCAACAGTTTGGTAACTCCTCTGAACCGATGA